CAATTCCCACACTGTGTCACTGGTGTTGTCCCCCGCAGGGCCATGGGCCAGTGAGGGGCATCATGCGACATGGGGTTTTCAACCGCTGATCAGTCCAATTCATAAACCAGGATTCAATTAGGAACTATAAATGAATCAGAGCATTCAGTTAGCAAAAACACTACTGTAGCCTCATTTATAAAAGGAGTAAGAAGAGTAAGGAAGTGTTTTCAAACTCTACCTCTCAGGACCCTAGACTACAAATTCTTAAATTTGGATCTCTCAAGAGTGCTTTGGTGAAATCTAGTAAAAATCCCCACGGTAATGGCTTCATTCAGGGAAAAAAGCTTGTGTACCTAAAACGTTCAGTATCCTGCCAGGAGGTTACTGGATTGCCTGAAGTCCGACAGGGGGAAATAGGGTTCTGGATCTAAATTCCCACTTCAGTCAGTGGATGGTGTGCCTTTGTGTTTTCATTGTTAAACTTACTTTACATATTGGACATTCCAAAGAGATTTTCTTTTATCTAAATGTGCTGCAGCCAAAAGAAAAACCAAGCTGTTTGCAGTTGCACTCTTCCATTTGTCCTGCCCATCTTCAGGTAAACATCATCATCTGGCTGTGCACCTCTTTTTCAAACAGCTGAATGGCATTCAGATGGGCAACTTTCTGACTCAGATCCTTGTCGTTTTGAAGCATTTACCTGCTTGCCATACTTACAGTTCTATAGAAACCAAACAAATGAATAAATCTTGGTGACACCATTCCATGGACTACAAATCATCCATTTAAAACAATGCAGCGGAGTGCTGTATGCTAATGTGCCAAGATGACTAATAGATACAAAGAAATTGAAAAATTACATTATAATGTGTATAGTGTGATCTCATATTTGTAAACAATGGGAAAGTGTTTTGTTTTGTTTTTAATTAAGCACTTGCAGGGCTCCTGGTGGTGATGCAGTGATTAAAGTGCTGACTGCCAACCATTAAGTCTGCAGGCTTGACCCACAAGACACTTGGAGGGAGCAAGAGGGGAGAGTCGGCTTTGGTAAACATTAACAGCCTTGGAAATGCTCTGGGACAGTTCTGTGCTGTCCTGAAGGGTCCCTATGTGTCAGGATTGACTGAGTGAGTCGCATTAATAACAGCTACTATTTATTAGGAGAGACTAGTCCCTTGAGATAGGCGTCATGTTTAGCAGGGGGTGGGCAAAACAGAAGACCCCTCAACAAGATTACTAACCGTGGCTATAATAATGAGCTGAAACAGCAACAACTATAAGGATAGCACAAGATGAAGCTGTATCCTAAGCAAATCCACATCAGCTTTTAATCGGTGCACAGTGAAGTAGGACCATGTTGGATAAGCTTTGAACTGTTAACATAAGCAGCTGTTCTAAACTACCAGCTGCTCCAAGGGAGAACGATGATTCTAGCTGCTCCCCAAATGTTTTACAGCCTCAGAATCCCTGTAGAGGCCACTAAGCGTCTGACTTAACCTGATGGTAGTGGGTTTGATTGAGTCTTAGTGCCCGGGAGATGGGTGCCATTCTACAGATAAAAGAACTGAGTTTTGAGACTTAGATAGAATGCCTTGTATGGCATCATATCAGAGATAAGTGGTTAGGTTACAGGGCTATAGTCTCTTGAAATCTGAAGCCTAAAAATATCAGAATGGCCTAAGAGCACTCTGAAGTCACGAAAACCGGTGAAAATCTCAACATTATTTTCCCAAGTAGACCTGAAATAGCCTTTATCATGTGCTGTGGCATCTCTGGAGCCACAGTTGAGGAGACAAGTCCCGCTCCTAGAGTGGAACAAAGAAAATCTAAACATCCTGGGCTCTCTACCCACCCCACCCCACCCACCCCCCACCCCCAAAATCACTGCCCTTGAATCGAGCCGAATCACAGTCATTCTCTATAGGACAAGGTAGAACTGCCTCTGGGTTTCCAAAACTGTTAACTCTATACCCGACAAGAAAGTCGGGTCTTTGTCTCCTCATCCCACCCAATCATGGTCGTCTGAACTTTTTGTAGCAGACAGGCCCAGGAGGAACTAATTACTAGTTGGTAGCATGACTCAGAGCACGTGACTTTAATTCTGTATCATGATGTCACATGAAAATAACAGCATCTATTTGATAAAATTGTGTGAAGGTGTGATTACGTGTAGAGCGGCTAGTCAAGTGCCTAGCACGCAGCACTCAATCAACGGTCACTCATCGATACCATCAAGCCTTTATTTTCCTGAGTCCAGCCAGTCGTTGGAGGGATTGGGGCCTGCACTAAGTTTGGACTTCCACTCACAGCCTCTTACCCTACCCTCCCGTACCCTAAACTCTCAATGGTCCCTCCTGCTTCCCTTCCATTTGCCCCTCACAAAGCAAGTTCCCTTCACAAGGGGTCAAGAAGGGTGGTCACAACAGCCCTCACAGAGCTAAATGAATGGTTTCCGAACCCCAGGGCACTTGGGGGAGCTGCAAGCTTTTAAAATCCTGTTCAAAACGCTGCACCGAGAACGCGGCCGCTGCGGGCCGCGCAGTCCACGACGGAACTGCAGAGCGGGCGGTGCCGGCGCTCCACGGCAGCTCGGACTGCATCTCCCGGCAAGCCCTGCTCCCACCCGGATGTCGGGGCCGCGGCTTCCGGTGACGGCCAGCCGCCAGGGCCCGCGTCGTTCCTCCCTCGTCAGCCTGGTCCGCTGGGCGCTTATTAAAAAAGTCAGATTCCAGGGCCCCACGCTGGCACTCTGATGGTTCCAGAATTCATAAATAGAAGTATACCTGGGGCTCTAATGCGAGTCACTCGAGAGACACCATCCTTGGGCCCAGCAGGCCCCGCCCAAACCCGCCACCCGAGCCTTTGATAGCTCAGCGCTTGCCTCCGGCCCCGCCCCTCGTCTTCCCATTGGCACCTCAACTCGTCCCACCGCCTCAAATACACTTTACCTTCTCATTGGTCCAAGGGGTGTGTGAGGGCTGTTTCGATAGGTGTTACCCGGATGTCGGTCGGGAGCAAGCGCTCTCGGCTTGTGGGCGTTTAACTCGCATGCGGGCACTTCCGGCGTGGGAGCCGAGGCCCGAGTCCTGCGTGGGGTCGCGACGTGACGAGAAAGTGGCGCTCGGGTTCTGCTTCCCGGGAGCCCGCCGGCGCCGAGCGAAGGTCCCTGCGCCGCGGCGTACGGCCGGAGTGGGCTGCGCCTAGGCAGGGCCATCGCTCTTCTCACCGGGACTCGGGGTCCTGGCTCCGCCGCCGGCGACTTCCCGGAGGGGCTCGGTCGGTTTCGTGACCGAGGCGTCCCGGGAGCCTGCTGATGGCGGCGGGCCCAGGCTCCCAGGAGCGGGAAGGGCTCCTGATCGTGAAGCTGGAGGAGGACTGCGCGTGGAGCCAGGAGCTGCCTCCGCCTGACGCTGGGTCCAGGGCACAGTCCGCCCACCTGCGCTTCCGACGATACCGCTTCCAAGAGGCTGGGGGTCCCCGAGAAGCCCTCAGCCGGCTCCAAGAGCTTTGCCATGAGTGGTTGCGGCCCGAGCTGCTCACCAAGGAGCAGATTCTGGACCTGCTGGTGCTGGAGCAGTTCCTGACCATCCTGCCCCCGGAGATCCAGAGCAGGGTGCAGGAGCTGCATCCAGAGAGCGGCGAGGAAGCGGTGACGCTCGTGGAGGACCTGCAGAAAGAACTTGAAAGGCTGCGGCAACAGGTGAGCGGGAGACTGCAGGTTTCAGTGCGATCAGTTGGGCCCAAGGACTGTAAACGTGCTGATTTAATTCCCC